ACAGTACGCGGTATAGGAAGAATGTAGGTATATCCCATACTGCAGCGGCACCCTGTATTGCATAAAATTTATTTGTAAAATATTGCTGTCCGCTTGATATTTCATTTTATTTGGTGTTTTGATTTTTTTTATATAGATGTCAGCTGGACTGTATTGTGTCGAATGTAGATTCTGGTTCTGCCATTCAATTAATTTCTTTTACTTTTAAGCACGTCATCCCACTGAAGTGGTAATCGTCATGGTAGCAACCGAAAATACAACTTCCAATGGGAAAAGGCATTTGTGTGGCTCACTAAATGAACTAATGGGTCTACATCAGCATATTGAAAACGGTATAAGTTCACTATTGTGCCAAGGCTTCAAATCATGGGGCTTTTGTACTTTTTCTGACTTTTAATGTCTTGATTTGGCTTTTTAGATCTCTGGGATCTGGCAACCATGCCTCGCCATCATGTTAAAACCGCACATGTAAAGACATATTGATAATTTTGTATACGCACAAAACGTAATCTTCTATAAAAATGGGTGTCTTAAAAATTTAGTGTCCCACGTATCCTATGAGAAATGGAAATGTGTGGTGTATCATCCCATGGGACGTTTCCAATAGGAATCCCATTCCCATGAATAATCTTGTGTATATGTCCAATAAACAGATTTGCTGTATTTATCAGTACGTACAACAGAACAAATTCCTGTTTCATTACATTGAAACCTGTATTGCCGGTTACGCTACATCTGCCTTCCTTAGTTTTGACCGGAATCTATCGCCCACAAAGCCATGCCTGCTGGTATCGCTAGAGAGCACCGTTACGCGTACTTTACGTAAAGACTATGATACCTGGGTTAATTATTCTGTTTTTAACCTTAGTTTATAACACCCGTCTATTTGGAGCATAAATGTACACTAAAAGAAATGTAACAGTCAGCGAAGAGTTGTGCAAATCAGGTCATATCTGATTGTTATACGATGTCGGTCTTGGAACTTTGCCAAGATGAGTTTTCCGACTGGTAGAAGACAATAGATATTTAGAATACGATATTTCATTCTGCAATCTATATTGTCAAAAAACAAAATTAAACGATCGATTTACTATTATCTTTTATATACCTGTAAATATAAGTGAAATAAATAACATGCTCATGCAAATTGGACTACTCTACCTCAACTGAAAGGTACTTTGAAAACAGTAGGTCTCGCAACGATGATGACACGAGGACAATTAAAGAGTTCACGGGCTCACGGTGCAGTGACAATTTAATTTTTGTGCAAGTTGAGTTTTGAAGAATTCTCCGTATTTAAAACTGAAAACCATCGATATAGTATACCAAAATTTGAGTTTTTTTTTTTTTTCAGTGCAAGAAATGCAGCATAATCGTAGGTAGTGATAACAATAATAGAAAATTACTGAATATATAAAGATAAAAGTACATCTGGAGTCCGTCAACAATATATCGTAGATAGGTACGGTATATAACCATGTTTCTCTTTATACCCATCGAATTTTTCCCTAATCTTGTCAAATATGTCGTTTAGATTGAGAGGTTTGTGGAATGCAGTTTCCTTCCCGTCCATTCCATCGTGATAAAAGTCTTTTGAAATTTATTATTAATTTTTTCTTCCACTCATCGTGAAATAGGTGTAATATTGGTTCCCATAAAAAAAATTAAAGTAATAACCTACTCGCAACTTCTTCCATATCTAAGTACTGAATTCAAAATAGATAGGTCTATTTATTGTGCATATTTTTCTTAAACAACGACAATTTAAGAAAACGACCCATGGGTCAAATTTGAAGATAATTCCTATTGACTTTGTTATACACTTCATTATCCTACTCCTGTTCTGTCTTTCTCCAATTTGATAAGCCACCGTCTGACTGCAACATTGGAAAGCCAGATTTGATTTTGTGTGTTCGTTATATAACATTATAAAACGATATATTTTATATGACATTATGTTCAACGAAGTAACTAATTTCTACAATTACATAAGCAAACAATATTTCAAATAATCTAATGTCTGAGGAAATTGATATCAATAACATGATTAAAGTTCAGTACTCATGATTGTCCAGTGAAGAGTAAACTATTGTCGGATTTAATTAAAAAGGTATGCATTAGCCACGTTGTACAAGAACCATGTTTTGGTACGTATAAGTAAACCCCTATAACAATATTGAGATGAAATTACCCTTTTTGTATTCACAATGTCAGATTTTTCATTTATTCGACATAAAAAACATATAGTGTCATAAATACTTGAATAATATAACATCTTTTTAAATTTAATTAAGAATTTCGGTCTTCTTTCGAATATTTGAAAAACTAATAATTCCATCCAGTCGCATCTGTCTCGCCAATATCTAAAGCTGATGTTGTTTGGGCGTCTAGATATTGGGAATATCTACAAATAAATTGCAAGCATAAAGAAAATGTTTTTGTGAGCTTTCAAAAAACCAAACCTAAGCACAATTTAACAGTAATGTAAGAGAAAGTTTAAATTTCATTTTCGTTTCATTTAAGCTTACATCCACTGTAACCTATAGTTTAGTGACAGTCCATGAAAGACTCAGAACTCGGGGCTATTTGCGTAGCAAGGCTGTGTTTGTTAGAATAGGACTCCGTTAAATTTTGATTACTACAGAAGACTTTCCAAATGTGTGAGCGTGTAAAGTTAAAAATATTATCTGTTTTACCACAGAAATCGATAATAATTCCATTTTGGGTTTCATTTGTTATGATTCCCATATGTATTTTGTACCATCCAATATCCGTCTTTCTGGAGCATGTCAAAATGCAACACAATTTCAGTTCAACTTACATGTTCTTCGGCCATATGACGGTGGATTTGTTTCAACAACTCCAGGCAAATGCATGGCGTTAGATGTCATTTTTATCTCATTCACAGCTGAAGACCTGTGTGCTAAAGTATACAAATGATTGCTTACATACATCACAGTAGTCCTTCAGGGCCAGGGCAGCCGTGACTCCCATAGGAAATCATAATCTTGGTCTGAGCGAATTGTAGTTCCTAATCAAACAAATTGTGTAAAATGTGACTAAAAACCATCTCGATTCTAGAACAGAGGTGTCAAACTTGCGGCCCGCGGGCCTCATGCGGCTCCAGAGAGCTTCCAATGCGGCCCTCGAACGCTTAACAATAATTGTAGTATTTTGTACGTATTTTCATTATCTAAATGTAATACATTTTTCTAACCTTTTGAAGTGAAATTCATAATTCACACAGAAAACGACAATTTACTGAAAGGAGATTTGGAAAATTAAAATTTTTCTGTTTTCAATCTGATCCAGTTATGAATACTTAAACTACAGCTACAAACTACAGCTATCTAAAAATATGTTTCAAGTATACATTATCAAAATATATCAAAAACTGTTAGCGGCCCTTTGCACAATTCCCAAAATGCAATGCGGCCCTCGGAAACCCACGAGTTTGACACCCCTGTTCTAGAACATGTATATCGTGAAATTCCAGATAGACTTTCTTAATTCGGCACCCATAATTTCACTTTTAGAAAACTAGACAATCCTAACATATATTAATTTGAATATACCAGTCAAACAATATTTCAAGGAAGCGTAATTTTATATACTAGTAGAAGCGGCTGGCCAAATATTGAAATTACATGCTATCGATTCGCTTATACTTTGGGGTTCATTCTGCTGTACACAAGCTTGGGTACTGAGTACTTGTTTGATCAGCTTATCTACCTAATACCACCGCTGTCAGTATTTACCCAACATTTGCTGAGGTTGAGGCTGCAAGTATCTCGTTTGCTGCTCTGCCATATAAGCATTGTTGACTGCGCCTTGTTGAGGATATGCTGTTGAAGTCATTGGAATAACTACCGTGTTGACCTATAAAGCAGCGTTGATTAAATATATTCATGAGTGCCCTGTGGTAACACATCCACGCAATACATTGATGACATCTAAAAGGGGATTTGTATATTCATTACATTTTAGGGTAGAAAAACGTAAAACTCAATTTAATCCGCTAAAAATGGGATCAAAATGAAATCATAGATAACCGGATCAATATCTAAAAATCCTCATATGAACACTTACTTGCTCGTTGCCACAGCACTCACCACATCCTCCAACACAACATGATAAAACAGATGTTGTAAAAGTAAATATGACTTGCAAGCTGGCAATCGATAGCAAAGCTATGTGTAGATTTTGTAATATCCACTGCAAGTCAGAATTAAAAACGTTAAGAATTATTTTGATTATGTTTGATCAGTCTAAAATAGTTTCCACATTCCAGAACTCTCTAGCGAAATTTCAAAACAACCATTTGAATAATCTTCAAATCCATAAATAATGATATTATGAGCTGGATGTATAACTATGTAGAAATGAATCCTCAACCCCTACATAAATGGACAAATTTTGCAAATCGGATTCAAGTAATTGCTCGAGTAGCCCCGTTTTTACTTCAGATACGTAATTAGAACGCATATACTGGTTTAAAACATTCTAATTCAAAAGTTTAAAATGATACACGGCGTATAAACAAATGAAGTAGATTCTAATGTATACAGATTCCCTAAAAGGAAAAAAAAACTCACGGAAGAGTAGTGATCGTAATCGTAACGGTCAAAAATGGCAAACACTTCCAAACAAACCATGGCCAGGTTCAACAAAGTTGAAAACGTTGCAAATCCGATGCTATAGGATGCCTGGGATAAAAAATAATCAGTAACAAAGATGTTTAAAAAATTTCGTAGACGACAAACACATAATCAAACAAAACAAATTTTGTTCGATTTCAAACAAATATAGCTCTAACCTCTAACTGTCTGCCCAAGAGCTAGACTTGTAAAACTATAACTATCAACAAAAGACATTCCTTCGGTTTCTCCTACTAACTAGTCATATTGAAAAAAAGCAGAAAATAAACCAAGAGTGATATGTGAGTTTTTTTAGCAGCGGAAGAGTATCTGGACAGGACTAATTCGCTAAATAATACTTACTAGTTTTTTCGACGGATTCGCTCCGAAATCAATGTTGATACATCCAGCAATCAGAGTCTAAATTATAATAAAAACTATTTTGTGTGATTTTCAAGTATTTCGCCTTCAATTATAAATCATTCATATGATTCTTTTTCAATAAAATACGGTTGCATCAGAACGTAAGTCATTGTTATTATGTTTAAAATGCTTTATTTTGTTGAATTTGACGATATTACAGCAGTCCAATTTTGAACCAAAAGTTACAATACAAGGTTATTTTGGTGAAATATTGTAAACTATAGCCAAAACACTGCGCCGAGGATATCAATACCATATTGTACATAATATGACCTAAGCAAACTTGCAAAACTCACAAAAGTTCCAGCCCATATTCCTTGAGCAGACAACGAAAAACGTGGCAGCTCGCAATCAATGTAATGGTAACCAGAATCATCATGGTAATGGTATAAAATATTCCAGTAGCAATCCCAGTATCTGTCCGCGGCAAAGATTATTGTTGCAATACAACAACCGATGGAAGATAGTCCAAGTAAAATTTCAGTAACCTGTGAGTAATATAAATGGAGTATGAAAGTTGAAAATAATGAAAAAAAATCATTTTAAGATCAATTGAGTCGAAACAAAAAAAAAACAATACGCGATTTCAAGTTTGTATATTTTTGCAATAAACATATTATGACAATTATGAATTCCCTTTTAAATGAGCAAAAAAAGACAAGATAACATGAGAAAAAGAAGGAAAATTCTCAATGTATTTATTTTTTATGTTTCGCCCTTTGAATAAATAATTTGAATGGAACCTTTTTATTCGGAACTACAATAAAATTCTGTCTATAACCTTAAGTGCCTTATATTCCAGCATTATTCGAAAAAAATTCAAACGATATACATATCAGTATATATTTTAAGATTTTATTTAATATGATAATTCTTATGAATTCTTACCCCAATTCCAATCAAAGAACTTTTATTGACAGAGGATATTTGAAGTTGTCGGTTTCGGGAATTTTGAAATTCCATACTGTACTTGATGATTTTAATAAAAAATAATGTTTTGTACTCTTTTATTTTGTGTTATTGCAGTGATACTACAAAATATTTAGATAGGTAAATTATTATAAATATGTATGCATACGAAAATAGTGTAGTATTTTCCACCATCGTCTTAAGTCAATGCGATATACGGATTTCGGGTAAATGTTGAAAGGGAAATACGTGCGGCTATTTCACAATTCACGCAAAGGTTCAATGATAAAAGAAGCAAGTGCACCCTCATTATTGAATGCACTTTCACTGACTTTTATTGTGTTTTGTTTGTTCGTTCAAATAAAACTAGATGCAAAAAATGTCTTTTTTTAAAAGAATCACGGGGAGTCGCAACTTGAACATATATTCCAAAAATTCAGCCCGTCCGACCCAGGCCCGTGGGTATTAAACCCGACCCAAGACCGACTATGTAACTGGATTTGCAGGCCCAAGCCCGAAGCAAACCCGAAGTTTCGTGTCGGGTCGGGCTCGGGCTTCAGATCTCAACTCTAGTCACAATACTGTACAAAGAAGTTGGAGAACCACTGATTTAAACTATAAACTATATGTAAAAGCAAACCTAATACTGACAAAACAAAATAATCTTCAAAGTATAGCAAGTTTAATAATGTTGGCGAACATAATTGTATTTGATTATATTTAAACAATATACATATATCAATAATTGAATCGTAACTTGCGGAACTCCTGAACTGTACTGACGGAAACCTGGTTGAAAACCACTAATCTATACACAGTTTCCACACGTCTCCGATCTGAAATGACTTATGAAGAAATAAACTAATAATAGTTTGAAAAGCATGAAGTGATTGCAACAAATATGGCAATACGAATAATACATACAGAGTGGGGACAATGCAGATATCACCTCGTTATTACGTGTCAATATTCGAAAAATTCTACTTTAAGGCCTGCAAATAAGATTTTGTACCGATTGTTTTGATGTCTTTTCATTTTGAATAAAATGTCGGCATACATGGTAGGCTGATAGATTGTACTATAAGTAATGAGTAATATATATAGTCATCGAAGGGCATAATTCAATCAGTCCTCATATTATATATGATGTAACAAAACTAAATCCTGTGTAATGAGTCGAATGTTGCTAGCCTTCGGTAGTATTAGTAACTATCAGGTATATCGTAGCAAAATTACAGATTATTTCTCTAGCTGGTCGTAACTTATCGTCTGCATTTGTCGCCAACAGGAAGTTAATTATTGATAATTAATATATAAAAACAAAATCGTAACGCCTCTATTTATATTTTCTTAGTTTTTAACTTTGTTGATATATTGTAAATCATTACACACCAAGTGTTTGCTTTCCTTGATTAAAGGTGTTTCTTTGTATGCCTTAACGAGGACATAGGGCTATTGAGGCTTTGGCAATCTTTATCAAAAATCTCATTTCCAAACATTATGGGAGACAAACACAAATAAGAGATATGATATGAACGTAATACTGACGTACCTTCGTCAAACGAAGTTATTATTTGCTATTGCATCAATATGGGTACACGCGTGATTTCAGTCCACAACAGGAAACTTTTTATCCAAAGCAAAGAATTGCAATAGTTTATCTGCCTATGGCCATGCAGAAGCGTATCAAGAGGGAGGGTGTTCGCATTGGTCTATGCCCCGCATACCTCGTCACTTTTCTGGTTCATTGAAGCTTTGGACTTTATAACTTGCTTATAACTGCATATTACTAAAAATAATAGGTTTGGTGAAGAAAATCCACCATGACATCATAATTCATTTACGAAATATCAAAATGATTTTTTTTAATTACGTAAAAAATTAAAATATAGCATTATATTATGACGTCATCCCTTTTCAATTTATAAATTCCCCCTCATCGAACACTTGCGCACACCACTGCAATATATGTATATATATGTCAAATAAACAGATTTGCTATATTTTATCATCACGTACAATGGAACAAATTTCTGTTTCATTTTATTGAAACCTGTATGGTTACACTACAACGGCCTCTCTTAGTTTTGATCAGAATCTATCGTCCAAGACGTTCCGCTGGTAGAGAGAGAGAGCACTGTTTCAGGTTTTCGTAATCTGTTGTTTGACCTTAGTTTATAACACTCGTCTATTTGGAGCATGATTGTAGCCTATACTATAATAAGATATGTAAAAGTCGGCGAAGGGTTGTGCAATTTAGGTCATATTCAATTCGTATACGATGTCGGTCCTGGTATTTTGTCAAGATGAGTTTCCCGACTGGCAGAAGACAGTAAATATTTATAATATGATATTTCATTCTGCAATTTTTATTTGAAAAAAAAATTTAAACGATCCATTTACTATTACCTCATATGTAACTGTAAAAATAACTGAGAAAACATAACATATCCATGCATGCAGAATTACGCTACCTCAACTAAAAGGGTTGTACTTTGAAAACAGTAGGTCTCGAAAAGATGGTGACACGAGGCCAGTGCAGCGCAGTGACAATTTAATTTTTGTGTAGATGTGTGAATCAAATTTTGAATAAATTTCTGTATTTACAAGTGAAAACCATCGATATATTATACCGAAATTCGAGTGTTTTTTCCTTTGCAAGAAATTCAGCATATTCGTAGGTAGTGATAACAATAATGAAAAATTACTCAATTTACTTAATATAAAAAGATAAAAGTAGATCTGGAGTCCGTCAACAATATATAGGTTCGGTACAAAACCATGTTTCTCTCAATACCGATTGAATTTTCCTCTAATCTTGTCATATATGTCATTAAGATTGGGAGGTTTTGGAATTCCATTTTCCTTCTCGTCCATTCCACCGGGATAGAAATCTTTTGCAATATCGTTGATTTTTCCTTCCTCTTTTCGCATCATGTTTTTCATCTCTGGTTTAGGTGGCATAGGAAATGAGATTGGTGGACGATGCCCGTTCGAGTGGGAGAATATGCTTTCTGCCAAAGGCTTTTGTTCGCCCTTTTTGTCATTTTCATCATTCACCCAAACGTTGTTGTGACTTTCAGCCTTAATGAAGTAATTAACTTTAATTTTGTTCATCTAGTACACCAGTAATTATTAAATAACGAGTTATCACAAAAAATTAATCTATCTAAATATAATATATTATATTTTTCAGCATTTTCTCACCATAGCCCCCTTCTCAATTTTACGTGCTTTGTGCTCTGGAGTGACGTCACATCCGTGAATCTATAAATTCGATGCATGATTTTGCAGTTCAGTCAGTTTAAAAGAGGATACGTCTTTCAAATTTTAAAAGTTGATTTTAAAATCACGCGTCAACACAATCGGGGTGCAGGAAATAGATTCAATGGCAAAGGCTTGTGATTTGTTTTTTGACATTTGCGGAACAGTTTTTCACATCGCGAAGGTAAATGGAAAAGAAAATTTGATATACATGTTTTTAGGCGACTTCCGTTGGTTTTAATCTATTATATCAATTATCTAATTAAAACAATAGCATATTTTCTTACCCTGTATGTCAAACCCAAGCCTTTAAAATGAGCGATTTGTTTGTCCACTTGAAGACGACAAATAGTATAATGACTACGGTAAAGAAAAACTCCTCCAACGACGAGGGCGCCAATGAACAAAACGTTGAAAATGGCACTAGCTAATAAGCAGTTTTTCACTCCATTGTTCTGTGCTGGAGATGCGTGTGAAAGAGGTACATCCTAATAAAATAGATTACGCATAGAATTGTTTAGTAATTAGTTGAAAGAACAGTAGAAGTTTCTATAACAAATGATACGCTTTAACATACGTTGAAAAAATTTAAATTAATATTCACTTAGTTTTAGAGGAATGTTCGGAGTTGATAAAAAAAAATTTTTTGTGTGACCAGAAATTTGAATCACGAAAATATTTCAACTCCATTTCTTTCTTACAATAACTACTCGACCATCATCATTCAAACAAATCTATAATGAATGAATTGTGTTAACGTATTCGAATAGAATGTTTCTCCCCGGCGATGAATGGAAAGAGACGAATGTCTATATTCCATCATGAGGTTTAAAGTTGATTTATCGATGATTCTGTATTCGAAAAAAAATTATTTCTCGCCTGAAGCAATCGGCTATATTAGACAATATTTCTTTCTACTTCTGCGTTGGTGTCATTTCTATTTTTCTAAAAAATATACTGAAACGGAAAGAAACAATCTAGAAAATGGCAGTTTAATGACTTTTAAACTGCGATCGACATGGTTTGCTGAAAATTGTGGTTGTGGTTTTAATATCACCGGACGTTTGAAGTCTTTCATTGAAATAACCCAATGCATATTTTCGCATATTACATCTCGTGACATCTATTTTTGTACTTCTTTCATTTTCACTTTTCTATCTGTTTATTCAGCTTGCTTGCATTACACAAAAAAAAATAAATGTACAAGCGTATATTTTGCACTCTCACATAACCACTGAACCTCTTGTGAAATTTTATTACGTTTAGACCAAACCATACAGGTTTACACAGTGAAGCTAGGAAATAATTTAAAATTAATTTAGGTTTGTTGTTATGATATGCAATTAACCTTTCTCGTAAATCTGTGTCAGATCATGCACATATTTAATTTGTGAAATTAACCGGAAAGGCTGTATATCATTATGCTGTTGTGCACCTAATTTTTCTTTTATTTTAAATAGGTGCCTTCAAAACGAATTAAACTATATTATATGTAATGACCACCCGTGATCATGTGCTCCACTGATTCTTTTACTTTCACTTTATTTCCTTGCACGAAACACCAACAAAATTAACATATTCTGAATGCCAATCAAAATGATTTTATTCAAAATTTATTTTGAAATGGGTTGCGAAAAAACGATGACATTTCTTTTTTCCACGCGAGAAATTAGATTTTTGAATAAGATTTTCTAGAAATCTTTTATCAACAATAGTGACAATAATCTATTGGTGTATCTACATGCCATAATGATCACTGTAACGGGGATAATATGAATATAAAATAAGTA